GCATATCTTTTCCAAAAAAGCGAGTCAGTCATTATCACGAACATGGTCCTTCGAGCCGGATATGCTGACAAAACAGAATAAATCTCACGTAAATGCGACAAGAGCAAAAGTAGCAAAGTATAATATAACCACGAAAACGAGCGCACTGCAGCGCATTACAACGCAACGAGGTGAGTCTCCATCTTTCCTCTCCCTTCATTCCTTGTGCGACATCATTCGTAATAATGTCGATGCAAAAATTAAAGGCTCTTAAAGCAAAACGAGCATCCGTAAAATCACAATGCACGCGTACTCGAAACGCGATCGATGCTATAGATCCACAAGATGTAGATATCGCGTACGTAAAACAGCGGAAACAACGATTCGCTGAATATTGGAATCAATTCAATGATATCCAAGTGCAAATTGACGAGTTATTAGAATTAGCCGAGGATTTAGATGGTATCGAAAAAGCCGATCTTCAGGCCGAGCAAGAACAAGAATGGTTAAATTTCGAAGAGAGTTACTTCAGTATTGCTAGCAAAATCGAACGTTTATTAGCGCCTACGCAGATCGAGGTCGCGAATCCGAACGAAAATGAAGGTTATGTCCGTGACATCAGTCAGATGCACTTACCGAAGATTGCAATACCAAAGTTTAGCGGTAATTACGTGGATTGGTATCCGTTTTACAATACATTCGAGTCGATGGTTCATCTCAATCCGAAGTTAACAAACATACAAAGATTCCACTATTTAATTTCCTCATTGGAAGGCGACGCGGCGCACGTTATTGAATCGCTGGAAATCACTTCTAATAATTACCAAGAAGCCTTAGACTTATTAAAGCAACGTTACGACGACAAGCGTGAGATAGCTCAGGAACACATAAGAGCGTTATATGATTTACCTGCAATTACAAGGGGTAATAGTATAGCACTAAGGAAGTTAATTGACGACGTATTACGGCACTTGCGTTCGTTAAAAAGCTTAGGTAGGCCCACTGAGCATTGGGATGATCTTATCATTCACTTGATCATCACTAAGTTAGATTCAATCATCGCAAGAGAATGGGAGGATGAGATTCGAGCAAATGACATGCCCACTCTAAAACAGCTCATTGATTTCTTGATATATAAATGCAAAGCGTTATCAGCCGTATCCAAGAAGGCATCTAGCGATTCAGTAGCGTCAAATTCTCGTAATTCTAACAAGGTTAATACTCACGTAGCTGCTTCTAACATTGGCTGTGCTTACTGCAAGGGGAAGCACTATATATTTCAATGTCCTGATTTTCTGAAATTGCCAAGCGAAAATAGGAATAAAGAAGTAAGAGCTAAACATCTATGCATAAACTGTCTACGATCCACTACACATCAAGCCAAGGATTGCAAATCGTCAACGTGTCAAACATGCAGCAAAAAGCACAACACGCTTCTACACATAGAAGACAAGTCCAACAAGGATAACACATCTACAAATAAGTCGGAACAAGCAAGTCCGTCTAGCACAGTCACTCTAAATCATCACAGCTCTCAAGATAAGTATGGCCAGATTATATTATCAACGGCAAGCGTAAATGTCTATGAACAACATGGCAACATTCATGTATGTAGAGCATTATTAGATTCAGGATCACAATCTAGTTTTATCACAGGAAAGCTAGCAAGAAAATTGAATCTCGTGCAAAAGCAAACAAACATGTCCGTCACAGGAATTAATAAATCACAAACGCATTCGTGTAGCACAGTCACAATACGAATAAAATCAATGCACACATCTTATTCTCAAAACATTGAATGCTATGTTCTAAATGCTATTACGGACAATTTGCCTCAAGTTCAAGTTAACATAGATAAGTTCACGATTCCAAATAATATCAGGTTAGCGGATCCACAATTCCACATACCAGGTGAAATTGATATACTTATAGGTGCAGAGATATTCTGGCAACTAATATGTGTCGGACAGATACAATTGCATAAAAATCAGCCCACGCTACAAAAGACTCAACTAGGTTGGATCGTCGGTGGCAAGACGTGTAGTTACAACCCGGCAGAATCCAGAGCATGTAATTTATCCACTAATCAGCAAATCAACGAAACATTATCCAAGTTTTGGGACATGGAACACATCCATGAAAAAACTCCGTTTACTCCCGAAGAGAAACTCTGCATGGAACATTTCGAAAAAACTACGACCAGAAACGTAGACGGCCGTTTCATAGTGCGGTTGCCGATCAAGGAGACGAAATTACAGCAACTTGGTGAATCACGCAGCACAGCATTGAAAAGATTTATTGCTATGGAACGTAAATTACAGAAGCAACCACAACTAAAGGCGCAATATGCACAATTTATGTCGGAATACTTAGCTTTAGGCCATATGGTACGTATCGATGAGCAGCAAATACCTCAGCAGGCCCCACGCTACTACATACCACACCATTACGTGCTGAAGGATAATAGTCTAACCACAAAACTACGGGTAGTGTTCGACGCTTCCTGCGACACCAGCACAGGAATATCACTAAATGATTGCCTTATGGTAGGGCCAACGTTGCAGCAAGATCTCTTTATGATCCTATTACGATTTCGTACATTCGTATATGTAATCACAGCTGATATAACTCAGATGTACCGTCAAGTACTCATTGACGAGGCACAAATCTTCTTGCAAATGATTTTCTGGAGGAACGATCCAAAGGATGAGATATCTTTATTCGCACTACTAACCGTAATATATGGATCAGCAGCAGCAGCCTTCCTAGCGATTGCATCAATCAAGAAAATAGCAACCCTGGAAAGGATAAACTATCCAATAGGAGCAGCAGCTATTCTCGACGATTTTTATGTTGATGATTTATTATCAGGAGCTGATACCATTGCCGGAGTCAAGCAGATACGTGACGAAACCACCAAGGTATTGAGCAAGGCTGGCTTTCAGCTCAGAAAATGGGCATCCAATTGTCCTGAAGTACTAGAAGATATGTCGAGCGCAGATACTGGCGAACCCATTCACTTCATCAACAGAAACGAAGAAATATGTACACTAGGCATGCATTGGAATACGTCAAACGACAGTTTCAAATATGACATCAACATTTCTGATTCTCGCAAGGTGACTAAACGAAGTATGTTATCAGCATTGTCCAAAATATTCGATCCATTGGGACTTCTTGGACCAATCACACTCGTTGCCAAGATACTCATCCAAAGAGTATGGAAGCATAATTTGGCATGGGATGAAACTGTGCCCATGGACATACATACCGCATGGTTACAATTTCAAGATCAGTTAAGTATAATTCACAACTTCACCATACCAAGATATGTATTATGTAAGCAAGCTTCTAGGATTCAAATTCACGGCTTCGCTGACGCAAGTGAAAAGGCATACGGAGCATGTCTATACGTCAGAATTACTAATCCACAAGGACAGCATTCAACGCAGCTGCTATGTTCTAAGTCTCGAGTAGCGCCGTTGAAAACGATTACATTGCCACGCTTAGAGTTGTCCGCTGCAGTCCTACTAGTGCAATTAGCAGACAAAGCATTGAAATCAGTACGCCTTGAAATAGAGGATGTAGGCTATTGGACAGACTCAGAGATTGTGTTGCAGTGGATAAGGGCAACTAACAAAAGGTGGAGTGTTTTCGTCGCAAACAGGGTTGGAGAAATTCACAGGCTCTCCCGACCGACTCAATGGTATCACGTGAGCTCAGAATTTAATCCAGCTGACTATGTATCAAGAGGATCTTTTCCGGCATCGTTGAGTAACGCAAGTCTGTGGTGGTCTGGTCCATCATGGTTGCAGCACGAAGCTCAAGATTGGAACACCAATATACCACCTCTATTAGGAGAAATACCAGAGCAGAGGCCAACACTCACGTCTATAGTCACTATTGACGACAAACATGAAATATTCACAAGATTTTCATCTCTAAACAAGCTAATTAGAGTCATCGCTCTTTGCATCAGATTTATCACTAACATTAGAAGCAAGCCAGAATCTAGAATTAAAGATCGTTTAACCACACAGGAATTATTTGAATCCAATCGTCGTCTTATAAGAATCATTCAGCAATCAGCATTTAAACAAGAACTGCACTCCGTTAAGGCAAATGGATGTGTGTCACGCAAAAGCAAATTGCTTAGTTTAGCTCCATTTATTGACGAACAAGATATCATAAGAGTAGGTGGACGACTTCGGAACTCAGCAATCTCACCTGACAAGAAACATCCCGTCGTATTACCTGCTGATCATCCCTTCACGCGTCTCGTTATAGCGCATGAGCATCGCAAGCAGCTCCACGCCGGAGCACAGACAACGCTGGCGGCCGTGCAAGACAAATACTGGCCTTTATCAGCTCGAAACAGCATCAAGAAACACATCAGACAGTGCATTACTTGCTACAAGGCAGCTCCACGTACATCCGAAAC